TTTGCAACCTAATCAAAGAATCAGCAAGTAAATTCCCTATGAGCAAAATCATATTCTCAACACTTCTACCACGTGCTGATATACCTCTGCAAACCCTTATACAAATCAATAGACAGCTCATCAGCGAATGCTCCAAATTACCCAACGTACATGCCGTATTACATGAAAAGATTTTCTCCAAAGAATTAAAGGATGTACTACATGATGAAAGGCATCTAAAGAAACGCCACATTGGTCTCTTTGCCGCTAATCTAGTGAATACAATCCGCGGTAGAGCTAAACAACCACGTCCTTTCCAGAAACAAGTGCCACACTCGCCGCCGCCATATCACCGTGGTAAATTCAGTTCTTACAGCGCTGCTGTCAAGAATCCTCAGAACACTGACCTTAAGCAGCACCCGTCACCATTACACTCTCACGGTGAACCAAGACTCCCCCGGCAACCTATGAACTGGGAGGTGGACAACCACCAGTCCTCGCACTTTCAAAGGCAGCAACAACCGCCCGCGCTACAGATCCCTCCTCACTTCACTACAGGTTGGTAGATGCACAGTAAACCTCACCAGGGTAAAGACTCTCATGTTGAACTCCCTCAGGAACTTATATCTTTTTTTAGAATCATTAAATCCTTACTCTAAATAATACCTAATTATTTACTAGGATACGATTAGAACATGCCATGAGATATCATTAATGTTGGCAGATTGCTCGAATCGCTCCCCGACTGGTAGTCTGTCGTTCTTTTCGTGGAACATCAATGGGATCTTTGCTAAACCCCTTGGTGATAAATTGCAAAATAATGAATGTTTGAATTTGATATGTCAATTTGATTTCGTGATTCTTTGTGAGACCTGGAAGGAGACGATTATCGACGTGACAGGATATCGATCGGTAGTTTCAGGTACCTCAAAATTAGGAAACAATGGTCGCAACTCAGGAGGAGTTGCTTTACTCTACAAAAATGAACTCCATAATTGGGTATCAATAGAAAAAATAACTTCGAACTTTCTGTGGCTCAAAATTAGCAAACAGTACGTAAAAACCTCAAAAGATATTTATGTTTGTGGCGTCTATATTCCGCCTAACGGCTCAAAATACTTTCTCCCTGAAATGTTTGAAGATCTTGAAAACGACATTGAAACTTTTTACTCTCAAGGATCGATTCTTCTCATGGGTGACTTTAATTCTAGAACAGGAAAATATTCGGATTGTGTAAGCCAAGAAGGAAACACCATTATTACCAATGATCAGTCCCATCTTTCTTCAGGCTCCACTCATAGAAATAGTTTTGACAACAACATTAACAATCACGGCAAACGCCTTCTTGAAATCTGCAGAAGCGCAGATCTTAGAATACTCAACGGTAGAGTTAGTGGAGACTCCTTAGGAAGAGCCACATTTCATGGAAAGGCTGGAACAAGTGTCGTTGATTATGCCATATGTGATCAAACGTTATTTTCACACATACTAAACTTTATTGTTAAAGAGCCCACGTATTTATCGGATCATAGTCCACTGGTGACCTGGTTATGCACTGACACCGATATTCGTAATCCAGATCCTTCACCAGAGAGTGATACTTTAACACGATTACCAAAACAATTTACGTGGGAAAGTGACTCTACACCAAAATTCAAAGCAGCTCTTCAGTCTCCAAATTTGCAAATGATAATTCACGAATATTTAAATGACATCAATTCAGCTAAAAATGTTAACACCTGCGCGGAACAGGTAGAAAATATTCTTATCACAACGGCAAAACGATGCCTTAAGATAAGAACGACGAGACGACGTAAACGCACCTATTCACGCTCAAATAAAAAATGGTTTGATAAGGAATGTCGCTTAAAAAGACACGAATTAAGGAAATTGTCAAATGAAAAACACAGAGATCCCTTAAATACCACTCTACGTGAAAAATATCATATTGTTTTACAGCAGTATAAGAAACTACTCGCACATAAAAAGAAATGAATATTACAACAATAAACTCTCAGAATTAGAGGATACAACGTACAATTTGGATACTAAAAATTTTTGAATTGCTTAAAATCAATGGATGACACTATAAAATACAAAGACACTCCACCAATTGCAGAAGAGAATTGGATGAATTATTTCCAGTGTCTACATTCTAATAAGCCACTTACTTCTGAGCAACAGAAAGTTGTCAATGAGTTAAGAACACGAGAAGACGTCTTAATGCAATCACGACCTCTAGATTACTTCATAACAGAAGCTGAAATAAGCAAGGCAGCAAGAAAATTAAAGAATAACAAATCTGCATACTCCGACAAAATAAGAAACGAAATGATTAAAGCTAGCTTACCAACACTGCTACCTGTTTACCATAAACTTTTTAATACTGTTCTTAACTTAGGAACAGTGCCTAAAAAATTGGTGCAACGGTCTTATAACTCCCATATTTAAATCTGGCATAAGAAATGACCCATCAAATTACCGCGGGATTTGTGTTTCTAGTTGTCTAGGAAAGTTGTTCTTTTCAATTTTAAACCAAAGACTTCTTGAACACGTCACTTCGCTGAACATACTCCATAAGTCTCAAATCGGCTTCTTACCTAAAAATCGAACATCAGACCACCTCCTAACATTACGAACTCTTATAGACAAGTACGTACACTGTCACGGTGAGAAAGTATACGCTTGTTTTGTTGACTTTAGAAAAGCCTTTGACTCAGTCTGGCATGACGGACTTTTATATAAATTATTACAAATTGGTGTAGGGGGATGTTTCTATAAGTTAATCCAAAACCTATATTCAAACTCTTCGTGTGCATCGAAAATAGGTACGAGTCAAACAAAATCTTTTAGCTTCTCACGGGGCGTACGCCAGGGCTGTATTTTAAGCCTCTTACTTTTCAATTTATACATTAACAAACTTACCGTCCGCATTTCAAAATACTTTATCAGACCCTATCATCCTTCCAAATGGCACCAAATTAAATTCGCTTTTATATGCTGATGATTTAATTATTATATCACGATCTAAAATCGGATTGCAGAACTGTCTCAACACATTATCCTCTTTTTGCAACTCTTGGATGTTAGATATAAATTCCAAAAAGACCAAAGTTATGGTCTTTCAAAAACGAGCGAAGAAAAACTCCAATCTAGAATTCCATATAGGTAAAGAAACCATTGATACTGTCCATGAATATACATATTTAGGAACCCGTATCTCCTCAACCGGTAATTTTAATATCTCCCTCGAACACCTGAAGGAGAAGGCTCTTCATGCTCTTTTTAGTTTAAGAAAACACACAAACTTTAGCAAATTAAAACCTTCTCTTGCTTGCAAAATATTTGAAACGATGATTTCCCCGATATTATCATATAATAGCGAAATTTGGGGTGTATATGTAAAACATGATTTTAAAGCTTGGGACAATACCCCAATTGAAAAAACCCAATTGAAATTTTGCAAGCGTTACCTAGAAATAAGCAATAAAGCTTCAAATGTTGCAAGTAGAAGTGAATTGGGACGGTTCCCACTAATTATTAATATTTATAAAAACATCCTTTATTACATATTGTATCTTCTGCGTAAAAACGAGGATACTATTGTTAAACAAGCCTTTCGTACTTCGCTAGAACTTCACTGTAATGGTAAAAATAGCTTTTACAATAATCTTATGAAAATATCTGAATATTATGACCTCCCTGATTTTGATCCTAATAATTTAAGTGAAGCTAAGATCAAACACTATATAGATATAATAAAACAAAAATATATTGCATATTGGCAACATACAATCCATCATTCTAAGAAACTACAATTTTACAGCTTATTTAAACATGATTATAAAATTTCAAGTTATCTAGACTTAATTAGAAATTCTGCGAATAGGAAAGATTTAGTGAAAATTCGTATAAGTAACCACAAACTCATGATTGAAACTGAAAGATATAATCAAACTTCCCGCAACGATAGACTCTGTCCTATTTGTAACTCTGGTATAATTGAAGACGAATTTCGTTTTCTCTTCCATTGTCCAAAATACTCAATCCCAAGGGAGAAATTCTACGATCAAATCCAACAAAATTTTGTCGATTTTGATCAGCTATCTTATACAGAATTAATAATTAAATTGATGAATTCACAGAATTTTTCCGTAAATTCACATTTGTTGAAATTTGTCTCATTATGTAATGATTTACGTAATAATTTGTTATCAAGTCATGCTGATGACACTTGATTGACTACAGTCATCATTGCATTATCATTGTTATGATTTGTTTGTTTGTTTGTTTGTTTGTTTTTTTATATTAAAGCTTTTGCAATACTGTAACTACATAATTATAGTCATGCAAATAAAGCTTATGTTGTTGTTGTTGTTGTGAAGCGCCTGATTAAGAGGCTTCGGATCAATACAGAGTCTAACTTTACCATTGTTGTTTGTGGTTACTACAATTGCTGAGAAGTGGGAGTATCAACTCTTTGAATCACTCCGATGTTGGACAACCGGTCCAATTCCTGTTTTAGGGGCTCTTTTAGGGCCATTAGCACCCTCCTCCTCGTTGACAGTTGACCCGCTTGTACAGTCTGGTCAATCTCCAGATGTAGTTGTCCTTCCAGTTTTCCTTCTCCTGAGAAAACATCTTTGTGCAGGGAGAGGCAATCCTCTCTCAACAGCATTGCAGTCCATGGCAAGTATATTCTGTTTATTAATAGTCAGCAGTTGTAAGTGCTCACTAACTCTCAAGCTAAGAAGGGACTTGCATGCGCCAGTAACTATAAGGAAATCGATGTTGTATTTCTTCTTGTTCTTTGGGTTCACCACCTTGAAGCGTTTCTTACCCACAGGTTTAACTTCTCACTTGTTGTACATAACCAGGGTCACTGATGTTTTCTCCATGTCATCCAGTCCGTTCTCTCCATACAGGTATTTCACTGTTTTATCAGCCATAATGTTTACAGTTGTTCCACTACCTAGCTGGAACTTCTCTTCTTTTCCATTGACAAGTAGGGTTGCAAACACTCAGTTAGGGTTGCCAGCTGAGGCTACAGTATTGAGCTGTTCCTCAACTGCAATCACTGCTACATACTCTTCATCTTCAGATTCACTCCTTAGATAAGACTTTTTTCTTTGACTATTGGCAGCAAACAGCAATTTGATTAGGCTAACCACAGTTCTTGCATGAGTTTGCTCATGCAGGACAGTTTTTTTAGCAAAAGGGTGTTGTCTTGCACAAGACTTGCAAACCATTCGTTGACCTGATGACTCACTGATGGGCTTGGCTGGTGGACCAGTCTTGTTTCTCCCAGCCGGAGACTTTTTCTCCTCCTTCACACAGCGAACGTCTTCCTGATTTATATCTTTAAGCTGTCTCGCTGAAGTCTCCGAGGATCTGCACATATGTATACATTGACTTATGTTCAGTTTACTTGTCTGAAGGAGTTTCTTGCGAACAGGATTATTACTAATTCCAACCACCATTCTATCACGAGTAAGTGAGTCTGTGAGCGACCCATAATTACAAGTCTAGGCAGGCTTCCTCAATGCTGTGACATAGGCATCAACTGATTCGTTTGTGTCCTGGTCCCTACGGTTGAAAACATACCTCTCGTAAGTCTCATTGCATTCCCCAATTCAATATTTCTCCATCTTTGTGAGAATGATCTCTGGATCCTTTCTTTGGTCTTTAGTGTTGAAGTCCATTGCATCGATAACATCCAACGCATCTGGGACTATGCAGGTGACCAAAGTTGCGGTCCTTCGTTCCTTGTTCCTGTCCTGATTTTCCGGGTCTTTGAGTTGAGCAGCGATGTCATAGTTCGACCACGCTCGGCTAAGGCGTTGCCACTTCACCGCCAGATTTCCACCGCTTAAGTCTAGCTTTCTCGGCAGAGGTATATTTACAGGCACAGTGATCACAGCGGGTTCAGCACCCGTCAAATTTTGGGGAGTAGTAGGACTTTCTCCTTCACTCGGATTTGGCATATTCAGTTCACCACGAAGACAGGGCGAAGAGATAAACAGTAAGATCACAAAAATGACGCCACAACACCCACCAAATCCTCTCCTTCCACGAGTACAAGGGGGCATTTTCGGCACAGTTACTTCTGACACCATGTAACGTAAGTGTGAGACAATGAACTTGACAGAAGCTAAAAAACGCAACTCATTTAATCACAGGAAAAAGGCTTCGTCGGCTACATGTGATTACAGAACAGAAAAGCGCGCTATCATCCGGGAACTTTACCTATCCTGAGACCCGAGGGCCTGGAACTTACAACATCGTCGCAGTGATTGTGTAAATAAATTGATGTGCGAAATTCAGAGATTCTTTATCTTCCCACAAAATGATTGGAAAAGGCATTTAAACTCATTGTTGTTCTTGATCATAAAAAAACATTTTGCTTGTGATTTTTTTTGGCGAGAAGAAATTAATATACCAGCGTGGGAAAGATGTTTTTGTTTTAAAAGGTAATACATGTCAAATTCACAAATTCACAAATCGGCGCAGCGTTGTGATCGTAGCCAAGCCGAGTGTAATTACAATCGTTGTAAATATTAGCTCAAGTGAACTACAATTGGAAAGTCTTAAATGAGTCCGCATTCCCTGCTCATTTATACCTAAGTTAGTACTATATATTTGGAGACCATTCGGTTAATTCCACAGTCGACCTTTTCGCAAGAAAGAGTGTTTATCGTTGGAGTTGATCGCTCAATCCCACAAAAACTTACAATTTCAACGCGCCAAAATTAGCCTCCTCCGCATCTCACAAAATCACGGCAAAATGCAGCATTCTGTGTCCAAAGACGCTGCCAACTCCACGTCATACATTTCTTTGCAGCGACTTGCAATGTTGGCCCCCTGGCGATCCCATAATCCCTTGCGCATAACCGGAAAATCGTTCATTGTAGGCCAGGCGTTCCTATCAGAGACCGTAGAAACTGGGGATGAGAATAGTGACAGATTTCATTATATGCAAATCAGTCTCGTGAAGAGCATGCGGTTTATTTACGGCGATGACTGAAACGACGCATGTAAGTTTGGCAATGATGTAATTTTTCCCGAATCGAGGCCCTTGATTTTCGAATAATTATGCACGACATGCACGCGTATTAAAAAGCAAATAACCCGTGTAGGATGAAAAAATATTGTAGCGCGAAAATCTTGTTTTGTGGTGTATTGAGGCGTTACGTTTGCCAGAATATTGTAATTACTGGTGCGGCACTCTACGGTTAAATGGATTCACTTTGTTGTATGTATTTAATTGATAGATTTTCGCAGTTGTTAATTAAGATGTGAAGTCGTGTTGCACTTTCTAAATACTTGAGACATCAAGTATTAACTACTGGAAGCAACTTCAACTACTTGTCTAAGGGTTGTTTTCCCCTGTTCTCTCCTGTTTCTCTATGTTTTCCCCTGTTTTCTCCTGTTTTCTTATGTTTTTCCCTGTTTTCCTATGTTTTCCTCTGTTTTCCTATGTTTTTCGCCGTTTTCCAATGTTTCCAATGTTTTCTCCTGTTTTCCCCCGTTTTCTCCTGTTTTCCTAGTTTTTCTCCTGGTTTCCTATGTTTTCCCCTGTTTTCTCCCCTTTTCCTATGTTTTTCCCTGTTTTCCTATGTTTTCCACTGTTTTTCTGTGTTTTCCTCTGGTTTCCCTGTTTTCCTATTTTTCCCCCGTTTTCATTTGTTTTTCCCTGTTTTCCTATGTTTTCTTCTGTACAAACAAGTGAAGGTAAAAATCACGCCATCTCAGTAAAGTTTTATACGGGGAACCTCCGTTTACATACCAATTTTTGCAGAAAATGTACCTCTCATTGACATATGGTACGCCTTCCATACTACTTAGTTTAGAAGTTTGCACCTGTAAATGCATTGTCTTTAAACTGAGAATGACCCTAAAAACCAGAACGTTTTCTTGATCTTCTCATAGCCATAAAATGCATAAGTTAGTCCTTTTGGGCCTTTGTAAAGACCAAGATGAATTCCCAACCTTTTCATATTCCTGAAGCCTCAAAATGTGCCCCTTTTGGACGTAGTACTCCCCTGCCCCCTCTCGGGATCTAGACAGAATAACAGTACCATAGCAACAAATAATATTGGTCAAAGAAATTAACTTTAAAGCCATGTCGACAAGTGATCGTTCCTCAAGATAGAGCCTTTCCTTCCCCTGCTTCATTTTTCTGTAATCTTCTTCCATCAAACAAGGGAGAAAAAGAAAAGGAGAGAAGAATTAAGGAGGGTCATATCGCACAGTGAAATAGACCTCTTCAGCATTATAATAGTCTACGTAGAATATAACTTTAAGCAATAATGGTGAATAGTGCGAGAGTAGTACGAGAGTATTCAGGAAATAAGTTCAACTGAACAGGTAAACATAACACTGAGATAAGCTAATTGCGTAATCACCTTTAGTGCATCATGTATTGAATCATTATTAAGGTGAATTATTACATGGAGCAATTCGTTGATTGATCTATGGATATTGGGCAATTTGCATATTTTTGCCCTTAGCGCAGCCCCTAGCTCGGCTGTCACATGCCAAAAATTAAGCAACATAGGAAATAGAAATTTTTCCTCCTTGATATAGGAAATAACTAAAAGAAAGTGAATGTATGGTAGCCTGTGTATAAGAAAAACTAAAAGAAAGGCTTTGGAAGAGAGAAAGGGAAGGGGACACAATCCCTTATTTGGCCTAAGTGTTTGGGTGATGAGCGGTATACAATTTTGGTTCTAACATAATTTTCCAAACAACTCATTGTAATTATCTTTTTTTCTGTATGATAAACGAGATTAATCAGGATCGTTAAATGAGTTCCGGTTAGCGAAATGAACGATTTTGTCATGGTTTGAAGGCCTCGCTAACACACCTCTACCCAAACTTTCGCTTGAGTGCCACTCCACCCCCCTCCCCTTCGCCCCCCAGAGTCGGACGTAAATGATGCGGATGTACGGGCTGTATATTTCAACTTGCAGTTTTGTTTTAAAGTTTTAAAGAAATTTTTGTTATTTTGTTAATTGATGCAGGAATGAGTTTCCCAAGTTCTAATGTTATCTGTTATGTGTCACACCCCTTTCACGTCATTTTTCCTGCACTGGAACTCTCCAAATGCAATCGGCTCAAGCAAAAAGCCGGGAGCCCGTTGACAAACTAAAATGTCCAAAAACGTTAGTAATAGCTCAACGCGTGGAAGAATACGATGTGGTCTTGTGACCCTACTAGGATTTTTGATTGTTGCAATCTCATTGCTGTTGACAGAGCCTGCAAAAGTATCGGGGGATTATCATACCCCCCACGTAGGTTCAAACAAGGTTCAAGAAGACTGTATCTTTCAATCCAACGAAGATTATTAATCCAGTAAAACAATCTGTCACAAGCTATCACAGTGTACAATTCTCACTCCTTCAACGATCAAACAAGAACTACTCTTCTAAGTATGCAGGGCTTTTTCTACTGCAAATGCGCAAGAAAATGTTTTCAAATGACTCGCATGCGAAGTTTATTCCCAATTGTAATGTACCTCCTGCAATTAAGTTAATAATGCAAAATCGTATGTTCCTTCGTTTTTATTATTGAGAAATCCTTTGTCACGAAGTCTCTCCTTTGCTCCTCAAGTCAATTTCTGTTAAGAAACTTTTAATCAAGAAATAAGTAAGTTGGTTTTCCGGTAAACATTTCTTGTGTTCTAATTTACATGCTACTCAAACCAAAAGTGTTCACAATATATGATTACATCATTTACTTGTTGACCAACGAAAGCAGTGCGTTTGGTCAATAGATGCGAATCACACCAGTCAGGGGATATTGCGGTCTAGCTAATTACAAATCGCCTTTTAACAGACGTGTCATGGACAAAATCAGAACGAAAAAAGGACAAACTAGTCAAGAAACAAAGAAAAAAAGGTAGGTTAATTGTGAAAAAAACGGTGAAAACGAGGGGAATCATAGAAAAAAAGGAGAAAACATAGGAAAACAGAGAAAATCATAGGAAAAAAGGGGAAAACATAGAAAAACAGGGAGAAGCATAGAAAAACAGGGGAAAACAGAAAAAAAGGAGAAAACAGTGAAAAACATAGAAAAACAAAGGAAACCAGGAGAAAACATAGGAAAACATATGAGAATCAAGGAAAACAGACAATAACATGTTTAAACAGTAAGATATATTCGGGACATATTATGGAGTCTTACATGAGATACTGACCTTCAAAAGACAGACGGTACGCAATGATATAGCCTGTTTACAGAACCCCCCACCCCACCCCTTCCCTCATGTGTCGTCCACCAAACTGTAAACATTAAATTGGAAAAGCTTTCGACTTTTGCTTCCCTGAGAGACTTAATAATTCGCAACTGCTTTCTCACAGGAGCTGAAACAGCCGTTTGGGAGTTTTTATACCAACCGGATTGACACGAATACAGAAAATGGGCTGGACGCATAGCTGATTTCCAATTTCAAGAAAAAATCCTCCACCGATGTAGGTTTTCTACGTTTGAACACATCAAATGTTGTCGACAATTACACATCACTTCTCCCTTAACTTCTCATTGCAAAATTTCGACACTGCCGCCCTCTCCCTTGGCGTATTACTTTACACTCTCCCCCTCCCTCCCGTCAAGCCCCTAGGCCTTTCCCGATTGCGCTCGTAAAATCCTAAAAAAGTGCTGGCAAAAATGGCTAAAAAGTGCTCAAAAAGTGCTCAAAATCTCAAAATAGTGCTCAAAAAGTGCTAAAAGTTGTGAACAGTTACCTCTAAGCCTTTTCGTAAATATGTCAATTTTTACTGAAGTAATTAACAATCTGTTTTGCGTAGTGTTATTCGACAGGTTGTTACGAAAGGTTGATAGAATATAGAACAATAATATTTTTAAAAAACTAAAGCCGGTTACGAATTGTAAATAAATTCAGCAGTGCTAGCATCAGATGATTTAGACCCTGTTTACATGGAGTGGGGGACCCCGGTCCAGTGGGGTAAATTTCTTTTGTTTTGTGTCCCCCAGAGCGTGAAAACAAAAGAAACCAACCCCACTAGACCGGGGTCCCCCACTCCATGTAAAAAGGCCCTTAGAAATTTGAGATGACACACGCATGAAACATCAGCCAATCAGAAACTTCTGTTCT